AATGCGACCTCAGCCTCCACAATCAATAATACATGTATTGCGATAAACACATGATCAATATTAAAAGGGTGCGTTTATGGGTGCGTTTACATTGCAGCCTGAAGTGACTCAATTCCGATTTTTTTGCCGTGATGCGACCTGTATCCGATCTTTTCATGGCAGTGTGAACAGCACAGGTCAGATTCTTTTTCGAATCTGACCCATATCCGATACGTATCCGATTCAAATGCGTCCATAACGTTCAGGTCGCATTCATCCGAACTGAACGTCACTGATTCTCAACAAATCTCACTATTCTGCGTCCTGATACGGGCAAGTGGGAAGACAAACAACAACCATGACGGATTATATGAGGATTAAGTTGTTAATAAGCTGCTCCGGCCGGATAACAACTTCAAATATGTAAGCTAAGCTCCACCGTTAGCCTCCATGTTTACTTCCGCAAACACTGAGCACTTCTTCTTTTCATGGCAGTTGGCAGAACACTGAGAACGCTGATGCTATGGCGTCCTCTACTGCGCATGCGGGACACTTTCAGGTCGTTTGCCCGTTTACACTGCAGAACGCATACAGGTCGCATTTACTGGCAGTGTGAACGGCCCCGGCAAAAAAATCGGAATTGCCAAAAAATCGGAATTGAGTCACTTCAGGCTGCAGTGTGAACGCACCCTATAATACGTAATACGTCTGATAGAATATTCAATATATAGAATTCTCGCTGAACTCTGACCCAGAAACTCAGACAATTCCTTGGTTACCTAGCAACGACCTGCTGAGTAACAAGCAGTTTCAAGTTCCCTCCAACTTTGGTTACCTAGCAACGACCTGTTGAGTGACTTCCGCAGCAGCAGTTTAAGATTTTGTCACCATGTGCCTCATAACTGCTTAAAAATAAAAATAAAAAACAACATCGTAGGGTGAAAACTAGATAAAACAGGAAATGTTAGGCCACCAGTTTGGCAGTATTTCAGATATTTAGAACACAAAAACTAATCGATAATTAACAATATTGATTGAAATGAAATGCTTATGTCGTGATACGTTTTTCAGACAAATCGTCCGTCTCCAATCTAACTTTAAGCATATTTTTGAAACATATGGAGAAAATTGATTTCCTGTTTTTTAAGTTTTGCTTCAATGCAGCTGAACTTTAGCGTACTTGCAATTTAATTCTGATCAATTATTCAGGCAGGAAAAAATTTCTAATCTCAAAACAGAACCAGATTCTGTTTACACATACCAGACGACTTACTGTCTATGTTCATGTTGGACAGGAAAAGAACCAGAAATTTAATTTCAACCCACTTAACCTCCAAACAAACTGATGATCTCCAAAAAATGCATCAAAAAATGTTTCTGCTAAGAGAAACATCTGGTCCACTTGAACATGAGAACCCTCCTCAGGGATGGTAAGCA